TTTTTTTTTTTTTTTTTTTTTTTTTTTTTTCGTTCAATATGCATTATATACATTCTAACAGATTGCACAGCACCCATACTGAATACTAAAATTCTAAAGCCACCTTTCCCTTCGCTTTGCCCGACTGAATGATGTTATGCGCCTCCTTCAAGCCATCCAACGTCAACTCCAACCTTGTTCCAAGATGACATTTTATTCGCCCCGAATCAATCAGCCGCGCGAGCTCCTCCAGTATGTGATGATGGGATTCAACATCGACATGGTGGTAGGGCTTAGTCCCAAGGAGACACCAGATAAAAGACATCGATTTGGACATGAAGTCGGTGCCGTACATATTGGCCTGGCCTTGGACGATAGAGCAGACTTTACCAAAGGGAGCGCATAGCTTGCCGCAGGTCGACATATATTGGTCTGTCGAGGACGTAATGAATATGTACCTATTTACCTGTGTAAGCACGAGGTACGCGGGTTTATCTTTGCACGGCGACTTACTTGAGTGGTATGTCGAGGTTGAGTTTTGCAATCTGCGCCGGGATATCTTCTCGATGGTTTACGACATGAGTTGCTCCCATTTTTTTGGTGAACTCAGTTGTCTCTGGTCGCGAGGCAGTGGTAATTACGCAAGGTAGGTCAAGGACAGTACGAGCGATCTGACTGGCAACGGCACCCACGCCGCCAGCGCCGTTGATGATCAGTAGCGCGGCTTTCTCACCCTTTGTAATTTCCAGTCGTTCGACTAACGCTTCGTACGCTGTAACATACGTCAGCGGCATTGCCGCAGATTCCGCAAAGTCAAGCGTGTTTGGTTTAACTCCGACGCTTCGTTCGTCCACGAGCTGATATTCCGCATTCGAGCCTTGTCGAATCGGGCTTCCAGAGTAGAAGACCTCGTCTCCTACTTTGAATAAGGAGCACTCGCGTCCCGTCTGCTCTACTACTCCAGCCGCATCATAGCCGCAAATTTGGAATGGTCGAGGGACGTGGTCATAGTAGTCTGCGGCCGGTTAGCGGCATGTAGGATATCTGTCCAGATATGTAAGGCGAACCGGGATAGTCATCATAAGTCCCATTTCGGACCTTTGTGTCCACTGGATTTACAGAGACAGCCTTGATACTGTGCTCATGTTAACTGGAATTCTAGAGAGCCAGTATACGCAAACATACCGGACCAATAAGTCTCGAGGAGACAGGTCGGAGGGTTTTGGTAGCTCCTTTTCGCAGAAATTCTCAATTGGACCATAGCTATCAATGCCAAATGCTTTCATCTTGTCTCTGTAAATGATGATACTGCTCACCAACACTTTTGCCTCCAGTAAATAGCGCTTCCTTTATGGCATGACATCATGCAAATGTCATTACACTCAATACCTGTTTAATTGCAATCACTGAAGATTTGCGTTTGTTCTGGGATATGGCATTACCATGTACAGTCAAGGGCAATTGCTCCGTACGAAGGTAGCTGTTGTGCTGTCGATGAACCGAATGCGCCACCGGGCTATATACCCCAGCATCGAACGGGTAACGGCCGAGTGGCTGCAGGCATTGACGCGAGACTAGGATTGGAAGTATTCTGTGCTCTACAATACTTACTCATGTAGTGCACAGTAGGCATTGCCGCCAGGAAAGTGAGTCGTGGTGTCTCTCGGATAGCCTCGAGGCTTCCTATTCGGGTAATGGTGGCAAACCGACGACGCCACACTTCCAAGACATTGTACGGGGTAACTACTCCGTATGCTGGACTACTGCAATCAATTGGCGACTGGATAACTCGTCGTCAAAGTGTTACTATCGTACTACTTCGATCCTTCCAGTCTGGAAAAGCTGCACAGAACCTCCACTGGCCTAGGAAATGTCAAAGCCAATCGCATGCGTCTGGTTACACTCTATGGAGCAGCGCGGGCTCCACGAAAATCATCGAGTCGATCCAGCAGAACCAGCGAAAGATCCTGAAAACTTTTTCTTCGTTGAATTTTCCCCATTACCGAACTCGACCCGTACAGTAGGCATCTATGTTTGGGGGAATTGTCTCGTGCGATCAGGATTCCCTCTCCTCCGAATGCGCTCCAACAGAGTTCGAGCACCAATGGACTCACGATCGACGTACTTCCAACTCAGGGGACGTGACTCGGTCCGTGCTGCGTGCTGCAATTTCCCTATCAGACGTCTCGGGCCAAAACAGTGCGTAAATGAACAACAGTATTGGCCTGATAGCACCATGACCGGAGATTCCAGACGGAAACGCCGTCAGAGAATACCGTACGTATGTACGGAGTGCATACTCGCGGCGTCCTTTCGTCTCAGTGTCCCGCACTCTGTACTCCGTACAAAGTACCCGAATGCAGAGGCCGCATCTGATAGGCTCTCACGACGATAGCGTCTTATTCAACCATTGGATTGCGTGAAAATCATGGACGCTAACGAAGCCAAGAGGAATGGCCCGTGATAAGCGCAACTGCACGATGCGGTCATGGAGCGTAGATACGAGCGTCGTGCATGGTGCATAATTTCCGTACTCGACGACCAGATCGGTGCTACAGAGCATAGATAACTCTGGACTCGTACGAACTCCGAACGGAGTACTCCGTACAGTGGTACTTTGTATGGCCATTGAAAATTTTGATCCGAGATGAGGCCGACTTCGGGTCACTGGAATGGACCGGTCTATTTCCGAGCTAGTCCGTATTGGGCTAGCGCTCATTCCGAGAAATCCTGCCGATCGGAACAATCTTTTGTCCATTGCCGCGGCTGCTCGGCACGTGCGGCAAACTGAACCTTGCACGTACAGACTACGAGCACGGTAATTCGCCATGGCAAAAGTCGGTCAGAGCACGTACAGAATGTTGGCATAGTTTTTGCTCTCCTTGTTGGGGCTTCCCGTACTGTGCGGACATTGCTATACCTCCGTATATATTACTCGTACGGCTAACCGTCACGGCTCCTGTCGGCGGTCGGCGAGGCTACCGGATCAGGCATAGTGGTATTTACGTGATATCTCGCGCCAATGGAGAACGCCGAGCGGCAACCAATCAGCATTGGATATTATGGAGATGTGCCTGTGGTAGTGTGGGGCATTACCATGTGGGTACAGTGGGGTGCCCTAAGTACCAGCCCTAACGCTAGTCTGGAAGTGGCAACGGTCAGGTGCGTGTTGCCTGCGCCGTATGTATACTCCGAGTAGGCCGCTTCTTTCTTCTTCGCCCGTTAACTTTCTCTCTCCTTTTCTGTTACCACGCTTCTTTCTCTTCTCTTTATCTGCGTGCTGGTCTTGTTCTGTCGTTATCGGTATTCGTCTCGATCTGCGCGCTTTTCTCTCCCTCTGTTTCCCTCGAATCCCCATCGCACGGCAACTGTAGCCAGGTTTGCCTCCAGGATATCTGATCATGGCCGACGCTGTGATGGCTGAAGCGCAGGGACATGGCGGTCAGCCGTCCGCTGATTCTAACCTCGAGAACCTAGGATACGTCCCTGAGCTGTCGCGCAACCGTTCAACATGGCAGGTGATGTTTATGAGCTTCATCATGGCCTCCGTGCCCTATACCATTTCCACCACAATGACCTACACCATGACCGGAGGCGGTCCATCGAACATGATCTGGGGGTGGGTGACAATCTGTTTGTTCATGTTGTGTCTCGGTGCTTCGCTCGCTGAAATCACCTCCGTCTTCCCCACCGCCGGTGGTGTTTACTACCAGACCTTCGCCCTCTCGCCCCCCTGGTGCCGCCGCGTGATGGCCTGGATTTGTGGTTGGTGCTATTTCGCCGGTCAGGTTACTATTACGCTCTCCGTTAACTTCGGAACCACCCTCTTCTTCATCGAGGCGCTGAACCTTTTCAAGTACGCCGATGGCACGGGATTCACCGAAAACTTCGAGGCCTGGCAGACCTACCTGATCTTCCTGGGTATCACACTGTTCACGCACATCCTTCCCTCCATTGGAAACAAGTGGTTGACCTACGTCGAGGTATGTGTTTTTTTTTTTTTTTGCGCCGTTCTCTCGAGATAGTGGCTAACTTGTACAGTTGTTCGCCGTTTTCTGGGTTATCGGAGGCATCATCGCCACTATCGTTACCATTCTGGTTGTCGCCGATCATGGAAGACGCCCTGGCCGTTGGGTTTTTGGTGGCTTCGAACCGCACTCTGGTTGGCCCGATGGTTGGTCTTTCTGTATCGGTTTGCTTCAGTGCGCTTACAGTTTGTCGGCTACGGGAATGGTCACATCGTGAGTATTGTCCAAAAAAAAAGAAAGACGAAAAAAAAAAAAAAAACAGGGCAATGCTAATTCGTGCAGTATGTGTGAAGAGGTTCGTCGTCCCGCTGTCCAAGTCCCGAATGCCATCGTTGGCGCCGTTATCATGAACATGGTCGCCGGTCTTACCTACATGATCCCCATCGCGTTCGTTCTCCCGGATACTAGCATGTTGTCGGAATTGAGCAACCCCATACCCACCATCTTCCTCTACGCAACTGGAAACCAGGTCGGTGCCTTCTGTCTGTGTATACCCATTATTATCCTGGGTATCTGCAGCGGCATCACCTGTGTAACCTCCACCTCCCGATGCACTTGGGCATTTGCTCGTGACCGCGCTGTTCCGGGCTCGAGATGGCTCAAGATTGTGAACAAGCGGCTGGAAATCCCCTTCAACGCCTTGCTTCTGGGAATGGTTATCGAGCTGCTTCTTGGGCTGATCTACTTCGGTTCGTCCGCAGCCTTCAGTGCGTTCTCTGGTGTGGGTGTCATCTTCTTGACTCTCAGTTATACGCTTCCCGTGGCTTGCTCCTTCTTCCTCCGCGGTCGCAAGGATCTCAAGTACGCCAGCTACCACCTTGGAAAGCTCGGTGTGCTTTGCAACGTGGTCTCCATCTGTAAGTTCTCCTGGTCCCCTCCGCGGGCTCGTCTATGTCGAGGCGACATGTCTAATATGGCTAACCCTTTACAGCGTGGTGTCTTCTCGCCATTCCACTGTTCTGCATGCCCACTGCGATCCCCGTCTCCCGTGATAGCATGAACTATGCCGTAGTTGTCTTCGTGGGTATCATCATCATCTCCGCCGTCTGGTACATCATCTCGGGACACAAGAACTACCATGGCCCGCCCTCCGAAGGACTTCACATCGACTCCGGAGAGTCCCAAGAGAAGTTCGAGCCCAACAAGATCCCCCCGCCGCAGTAAGCCCACAACACCTTTTCTCTTGGCTCTCCTGCCCTTTCTCGCCCTTCCATTCGCTCGCTTCCCACGCCCGTCTCCGCCAGATCGAATTGCCCTTCGCTTTTCTTGACGTACTACCAAACGATACCTCGGCCTCTATATACCATCCTTTCTCCCCCTCCCAAAATCATTGACATTCCACAAACTTCCGACCTCCAGTGACGACGGATCGACCACCCGGGTGCTACACTTACGACCAAGTCCATAGCGGCGGCCCGCGTAAGGACACATTGCCCCAATGCAACCTAGTAAACCCCATTGGCGCGTAAGAACCAAGAGCCCCAACAACTCTTGATAATCCGCCATGCGGGAATGCAAAAAAGCAAACCTCGCTTGTATATAGCTGCTGCTTGCTATATGGCGTTTTCGTGGCGTTTTGTCAGGTTATCTTGTTCATGTACATAATGATTTGAGCGCATTGTTCATTGGATAATTAAGATCTCAAAATCTTGATCAAGGATTATCGTAGGCCGTATGCTGAGTAGCGTCTTCGTCCTCCTTTCTTACCTTGCCCCTTTACACTTGGACACGAGAAGTGCTCACGAAGATCGCGCAGATACCAGCGTGCTCCACAGTGAAACCTACCATGCCGACAAACGGGAGCCTTCTTCTAGGTTATTCCGATCCTGTTTACAGTGCTGTACGATCGTTCGTCCCCGGCTGCCATTATGAAATCGCACGTGCACGCGCACGCGACTGGGTTTCGACTACAAGCAGAAAATCTTCGTACACCGGCATATTTCCCACAAATCTACAGAGTATCCAAATGCATGACGTGCTGAAAGTATATGCCGAGAGTCAGTCCGGCTACACCCTACACCGTTCTCCGAGATAAACTCGTGCTCTGCACGATTTGCATGATCGTCTCGCTTGAACCATACTTTCCATACTGTCGGTGAATTAGGGCCGTTCTTGTTACACTGCAGCTCGGGGCAACGGGACGGTTTGTCTTACGCTGTTTAGTGGCTCGTATGGGCGACGTGACACGATGCATGCTTGTACATGCAGGTGCAGGTGCATGGAACCGGTCAGTCACGCGGAGTTCTCGAACAGGGATCAGACAAGATTTTAGGGTCATAACGGTCATTGGTGATGGTGTTCTCACGTCCTTGGGCTGGTTATTGGCGCAGTTAGCGAGCTATTGGCAAGCCGATCGACGGTCTTTTCCACGGGCGAATGGACGGAAACGATGACAATGTTCGAATTCGGTGACTCGAAGCGAAAAGCACTCAAACGCATAGGAATAGTGCTAAGAAGTTGTTTTCATCTCGGATCAAAGAACTGACCCTGGAGGAGATCCAGGTCATCAGACAAGGAATCGAACCCATGTTGGCGCTCACTCTGAACAAAGTACTACCGAGCAGTGGCACCGTGACCCTACCTTGCTACGGCCCATCGGTTCCAATCCAGCTGGCTTACCAATGGCCTTTTGCTCGTACGACTACCAGGCAGTGCACTGTGATAACCCAGGGCTGACAGAATGCGCAGTGTTCCATGGACTCAGCTTGATGAATCTTACGGCATTCGTCCCTAAACCATTAACAATTTCCATTACCGTACCAGCGGCCACTTAGGTGAATACTCCTCTAGCTGGGGAGATGTCCTATCCTTCCGCAACAACTGCTACCCGGATTCTCCCCAAACGATGATTTGTTGGCTTCGCCCATCTACCCGCGGTTGTAAAGGGCTACTAATCTCGGGCACCACAGAGGTCAGTCATCACCGCCCGGCCATGTTTCTATGACGCCCAGAGGGCTTCCACTGGGGACCAATCTACGTAGATTGGTAGGAGTGCGTAGCATAAACAACCAAGTACAGAAGGCGCGTCCCTCCGTCGCTCCGCATGTTTTGCCAAGGGTCACATGACCGCACTCATCACCCTGTCAGAACTTCTTCCATGATCTCTCGACAGACAAAAGGAACATGGCCCGTCCGTCCGGAGGAAGAGCACGTCCCAACATCAAAGGAGCCCCTGATTATGACGATGCGACTTACTGGGACACCAAGTTTGCGACCGGCCAGGATGTGGGCGAGTGGTTGAACTCGGGCGACGCCGCGCTTGAGGCGGTTCTGGCGGACTTGGGAGATCGGTACGGTGACTCGGGGGTGGAAATCGCCCCCCGAGCGTTGCATTTGGGCCCTGGCATCTCGAAACTCGGGACGAAGTTGCAGGAGATATTTGCCAGTCGCGGATGGTTGAGCAATGGCATTGTCGTGAGCGCCCCTTCGACCTTCGATAAGGATAGACGACTTTGATGGTGCGAATGGATACCAGGATGGATGGTTCTGCTGATCGTACATCGCATGCCCCTTTCTCTCTGCTTAGAATGTGGATTTCTCCGCAGAAGCTGTTCGTCTGGGCCAGGAGGCCGAAAGAAACCAGCACCCCTCGCGCGCAATACAATGGATCCAAACCAATCTTCTTTCCTGGACCGACGTCGACAGTCTTACCCCCTTCGTCCCCTTCGATGTGATCCTTGACAAGAGCACGAGCGACGCCATTGCCACGGCCGAGCCGCAAGTTTCTCCCCCATCCCCGGACCTCACTGTCTGCCCTACCGTCCGCGAAATCGTCGAGCAAAACGGAGTAACTGAGCTGTTGCCGGTTGAGGTGTTGGCATTACATCTTGTGCCTCTGACGCGCGTGGGAGCGACATGGGTGGTACTTTCATACTCAATGTCCCGGTTTGATAATCTTCGGTATATTGGGCGGTATTGGGAGGTGGTCTCGCGGACGCCATTGAAAGCACCGACCGGGGGCGTTACGCCTAGTGCGTATACGCCCGAGGTTTTTCATTGGCTTTATACCCTGCGCCGGATATAGGGTACGTGTGATGGCGTAGAAACTCGCGGTTGGATCGACCAGTTCGATGACAAACGATGTACAGGTCCGGACAACTACAGCTGGGATTAGGACATAACGAGAAAATTATAGATTCATAGCTATGCAATAGACTTCGAATTCCAAGCTCGCTTTTGTTACGACAATAACCAAACCAAACGCCATGCCCATGCTATCATCACTTCATTGATTGTGCAACCATCGGGTCCTAAATCCGATTGTCCTCACTGATTTCATAGTTCAGCTTCTTTCCCTCCCGACGTCTCTGATGCACATGGATACACGCCCGGACAAACAGCACCAAATGGAAATCCCTGCGACTGTCAGTATCACCAGAAAACACCGTTGAACAGGGAAAACGCACGCTGCGATCGGAGCCAAGACAGCACCCACCCGCAAAATAGTGAGGCAATAATCCGCCACGTCCAACCCGACTATGCTAGTGTTGGTGAAATATAGCCCGATTGCAATGATGCCCATAATACCGAGAATCAGCAATGATAGCAGGTCCAAGCCGAGATCAATGCCGGGGTGGAAGTCGCGGTAGTCGAGGAGGAAGATTAGGTCGATGAGGGACCAGAGCGCTACAATGGAGAACTAGTGAAACGGATTAGTTTCGACGCTTGCCAAAGGAAGAAAAGGAAGCGTACCAAGATAATCCAGATCAACATCCCTTCCGGAAAAGCGTAGGAGAAGCAAACGATGCTGAAGATATTGAAGAAGAGCGCCGGGATCCGGAGACCAAGGGAAATGCCCCAGGAACGAGAATCGGAGAATGCCATGATAATGCGATGTTCTGGAAATGAACGGAGACTTTGATTTTGCTTTTGATTTCAGACGGTTTGAGGATTCGCAGCTCTGCTTGAGATACATTTTGACCTGGTAGCATCGTACGTGTTATTATAACCATTGTCGAATCAGCCCTATCAAGGCGATACATCTGCTTTCCAATACCAATGCCTCCAAATAAAATTCATCAAGTTTGCCTTGGGCGAATAAGGGCATGGTCCGGGGCATTACCGCACAATTGGCCCCCAAATCCTTTGACGATCGGGGATGAGGCTGTGCGGACAAGGCTAACATCCTGTCAGCCTTCGCGAGGTGATGGATAGAGCTGCATGATAGCACGGCAACAAGTCAATGTCAATAGCTTATCGATCCTGGACATCTGCATTGGAATGCATCAGCGCATGGGTCCCGCATACTACCGTGCCCTAAGGGGAATACCCTAGAGTCCAGTATAGAGTATACTGGACTAGTCGAAGCTCGCTCGCACAACCAGCCACCAGAAATCCAGATTTCTAGTATAAGCATAATACTCTCTAACAGCAATCGATTTTTTCCCTTGTTTTGATATTTTTCTTGTGCTATACTCTGTACTCCGTACCAACAGTTTTCCATCCCGATGATTTCTCCGGACCGTGCCGAACAATGTCTCCAAAGCAGTCTACTCCGAGAAAACAGCTGAGACCAGATACCAGTACTATGGAATCGGAAACGGCTGAGCTTTTCTGAACATACTTTCCCTCAGGCTTGCGATCCTTGCCAAAAGAAAAGATCAAGGGCATCATCTTTGACGAGCTCTTTCGATCCGAACGGAAGTACGAACATTTTGATATCCCGGCACATCGTTTCTTTTTTCAAGGGCACATCGCCGGTACTGGGTCATGGCGTGCCAAAGATATTCCGGAAAAAGAAGCCCCTCTGTCTTTTGGGTAACGTCGACTCCTTTTTGTTTTTTCGTTTGCAATGTTTGCCCGTATGCAGCAGCCAGTAGCATCGTTCTGGTTACGTTGTAATCCAGAAATGCATTTTGTAACCAATTTCGTTGTTGTCAAGTACCGAGTCGGAATCAGTTGCTGCTCATCGCGAAACTCGATGAGAAAAACGGCTGGGAGGATTGATTCTCTGCTTGTCATGTGGGATATTCAATGATGTTTAAATGGATCCAGCGAAGGATCAAGCGCGTCAACTGCTTCAAGAAGAGAAGAAATCAGTCTAGGATGAGATTAGAGAGTTCCAGCTGCCCGGGGGCCGTAGGATTCTCGCTGGGGAGAGGTCCGAGAGGGTTCCATGCGCTGTGGATGGGCAGAGCACGAGAGGGGTGGCTTGGGAAGACGACTTTGGTTGAGGCAGAGGTTGGATAACGGTGGCGAAACCATGAGGCGATAGATAAGTTCATATAGGTTCAAGTAGGTAGAGAAGTAACATTAGCCGACGCTCTTCCTCTCCTAGCTCAGTTACGTCGGTATCATCATCCACCGTGTCGGACCCGACGTACACTTGTCATTCGTGTCTCTGCAACGATAACTCCTTTCCAAAACCCTGTCTATCACGCCTCAAACTTGTTCCGCAGCCACTTCCCTAGCTCATGTCGAACGGATGTCCGTGGTAGGGAATACACTCACCGAGCCATTGCGTTTCCATGTCAACATCGTTCAATCCGTGCAGTACGAATGCCCCCCTTACTGCAACCGAGAGCACGATCAAATTGTGCGGATGCGCATACCCGCCTGTGAATACATTATACCAACATGGTTTGACAGATACCGCTATGCCTTGACTGGTACGGGCACACGGTGTGATACATCGAAATTGAGATAATCAATCATCTGTATTCCGTACTCCCTACGATCAGTGAACATCTGACAAATCAAGCCATCATCTGAATGATGCAGTTCAGGACAGATCGCAGCTGTCGATCTCAGCCACATTTTCTGTACATTCCAGGTCGCTCACCGTCGTATTGGAATGAATCACAGAACACGGACCAGCCGAGTTTCAATGTTCCAATAGTCTATGCAGGGTGCAAGGATTATTGAGCGGCTAGAACAGCAATGTTGCTGCTCTACGAGTATATATAGCTATTGAACATGGTCTCCTTACGAATTCACGGACAAGGACTTGTACTCTATACCGAAAATGCACTTCCTCCTCGGCCTCTTCCTCCCTTTGGCAGTCCTCGCTCAGGGCCCTGAGGCATTTACCCCCCATCCCAATGACAATGGCAACGCTAACACAGCATAGACATACCCTGACCGCTGCAAAGACAACCCCTGCGCTGGCATCCCCTCCCAAAATGCCAGCTACGTTTGCGGAGACTCGCGCCTGGGCCCCGTGGGCCTCCCCAGCAAATTTCCACTCTCCACTGAAACCAGTACTTACGCGCGCTTCGGCAACCTCTGCCCGAAAGAGTGGCTTGACAAGTGGACCAGCTCCGACGGGAACTTGAGATACCCGCCCCAAGACGGCTTCGCGCTCGACAATGACAAGAACCGTATCTGGGGCAACTACACCCTCACCGCGGGCAGCAAGGTTGACCGGTTCGGATCCGAGTACGGGAAGTATCTGACGACGTTGGGAGCGCCGTATATTGAACGGGCTCTGCCACCGGGGAATCTGGACACGTACGATGGGAAGTATCCGTACAATTACCACGTGTATGAGGTACTCAAGGATGTTAATGTTGTGGTTGGGCCTGTGGCAGCGTGGTTTGAGCAGCCAGGTATGGGGACGCAGATCTATACTTCGAAGGCGGTGAATGAGTTGTTGGAGGGCGGATTTTTGCGGAGGTTGAGCGAGGACGAGTATGATGAGAGAAACGAATATGCGGAGCCAGCCCCACGGGGTCAAGACGCATAAAGGTGGAGTGAGGTTCATCGATTATAAGTCTTGTACTGGCATAATAATAGAATAGAGAAAACAAAGGATATGAATAGTTAGTCTTCTCTAAAACTTCAGCAGCTCGATTGCTCTCTTTCGATTGGATCTATACGGATGAGATGTCACGGTAATCCCTAGTCAATTCAGAGTGTTTTCCAAGCGAGATTACCAGGCGAGGTGCTTTCCTGTTGAGGCATGGGGTGAATTTAGTCGCTTGACTTGAGCCTTAGAGTAATCTCTACACTAACAAACTTAAGAAAATCACTAGCACCGTCCATCCGCAACAATTACAGCCCTGAACGTGATCTCATGATGGTCAGAGCCAGCTTGCCCGCCGGATGGTTGCTTGCTCGAGGGCTCTGGTTTCCACGCCCTTTCTATGTTCCGACTCTGCTGGGGACAGTGAGAATGCTCTCTCCAAAATCTTCTTGGCTCTTCTGGAGGCTCTTGGTCTCAGAATGGTATGGTTAAGGTGTTTCTTTTGCACTTGCGTCTTATCGCTTGCGCTCTTTCTTGTAGCGACAGACGAACCCCAAGTGATAGGGGAGCAAACAGCTCAACGCCAGAACCACCGGCTGGTATTGTAAGAACATCTCGAGCATCACTTGCCAGGATGGGATATTCATGTTGGTAATCTCTCCAGTACACCCGTGGGTTCACAATTTGAGTGCCTATAGATGTTAGTATCAGGAAAGGAAGAGGTAGAGGATAAGCTTGCCACTAGACCTCGCCCTCACCCGCGGTGACTCGCGAGGGTGACCAAACAAGACAGACAGTACTATATTAGGACCGCCGCATTGTTTCTCACAGTTGTTTGTAGAGATCAATCCCGGCTGGACTCCCGCCGCACACGCTCTATGGCATTGCTGTCAGTTACCATTGGAGACTCATCCGATTTATATGACGATATTCATATAGCAAATTGCTCGCTTATAACCAGCCACTTGGCGGCGTTGAGGCGTTAAGCCGTCACAGAGGTAGAGTTGTTTTGTACACTGGCCAGAAAATGCATCGTACTCTGGACAATGCTAAGAAATCTACTATTGGAAGTACAATAACCCATACAGGGAAGTGAAATGTAGTTATCCCTACTGGGAGGAATGTGAAGAAACAAGCAATGTGAATTGATGATTGAAGACACAAGGATCTCCGTCCCTAAAGCGATCTACGGCTACTTTCAGAAACTAGTGACTGTATCGAAGTATCAGATGCCGAGTGCTCTCAAATCGTCATCGCTGCAGCTTCAACCACATCCTTGGCAAATATCAAGTTATCCACAAATACTCAGATCTATCCAGCACGTTTCCAACCAAGGTCCCTGTCTTGAGTTCCTGGTGAATGGAAACTAGTTTGCGACGCTTCTCGCAACACACACTCACTCACTCACGCTGATACGCGTGTGTCGCTTCGATGTAGCCCGCTCCCGATACATGATAGGCGTCTGGAATTATAAACGATGACAGGGAAATGCATCCCCCGACAGGAATCAGGTCTTCCAGTATCCGACTTATTTGCTTGCATCCCAGGTCCCGACGGGGAATACATGCCCCTGTCATCGCTCATGTGCCACCAGATAGAATACGAAGGACGAGGAATCGATCAATCGAATCGATGTATCCCCAAGAAAACGGGTCAAACGGCGATCGTCTCACGCAGCAGCACAACCGTCACAGACCTGGTACGTGACTCGTTGAACCAGAAATTACCTTCGAAGGAGCTGGAGATTGCTTGGGTGGCGTTGAGGGCCTAGGCGCATGGTCCCGAGTCTAGGGTGTCGAGGGCCTGAGTACCGTGGTCGTGACTGGGCCCAATCCCGCTGCACTCGTCCATTCGCAAGCCTAGAACTAAGACAGCAAGAACCCTTGATTTCCTTGGCTAAAGGCCCAGTAACTGTCAGCTCACATACTGCGCTCCATGATTTATTACAATGCCATGGATTTTACACTACATTACGCGCTATACCGTAGCCGTGTTCTCTCGAGCGAGCCCTGGTACATAACGAATACACAGTGCGCATTATCCTCTTATCGGTAGGCTTCTCGTTATGTTTATCTTATGCTGATCTTATGCATATCGATGTACGCGACTTGGCATTTTGAATAAAAACCAGGTGATTGGTAGGTAATGAGTAGGCAATTGAAGCTATATCTTGAATTGTGAGTCTTGAGTTCTCATGATGGAAAGAGAGGAACTGGTCGCGTACCTGAAGATCGCGACAGGCCAATATATATCTTCGGATGCGGCTCACCAATACTACCATCAACATATGTTACCAGAGGCACAACCCAACGCACCAAGAAAGCATGCCGCTGAAATCGAACAACGACAATAATACCAAATATAGAGTACCCCGCGTGCCCCGCGAAAGACCCCCGTAGAGCTACCACCGGCCAATGAAACACAACACCCCGCATTCCCATCCATGCTTTCTTATGCTTATTTATGCATACTGCATTCGAATTCATTCGAATCGACCCAGAATTTCAGCTCCAGCCTAGTTGGCCCTGACCCCTCCCGTACAGGTCTCGTATCGAGGCCGTCCTCAGGTCGCAACGCACAATTGTCCAATCGGCCGAGAATAGTATCCTGTGTAGCAAGCCCAAGAGATGTGATCATGTGCCGGTACCCATACTTGTGTACTTGTGCGAGCGTCCAAGTGCAGACGGACGAAGGGATCCAGTATCATCAGGTGGCTTATGGTACAAATGCAATCCTGCTTTTGCAAATGAGGTGTCCTCGGTCGACCCCGCATCGGGGACTGCTCCGTATCGCACTCGTTCCGAGTAGGATAAATAGCAGGACTGAGCTACGTAGACTAGGTAGACTACGTCGACCACGAGCTACTACTACGTTCAAAGTACCATCCCACTACGCAATGGCGACGATGAAAGCCCTGGTGTATACCGCCCCCAGCACCATCGAGCTGCAAACGCGCCCTAAACCGACGATTAAAGCCCCGACCGATGCCATTATTCGTATCCAACACGCCTCGATCTGCGGCACGGACCTGCACATCCTCAAAGGCGACGTGCCCTCGATCCAGCCCGAGCGGATTCTAGGCCACGAAGGCGTGGGGACTGTGGAGGAGATCGGGGCTTCGGTGAGCAAGTTCGCCGTCGGGGACCGGGTGTTGATTGCCAGTCAGACGTGTTGTGGTGGTTGCCGGTTCTGCCAGAGAGGGATTGTCTCGCACTGCGACGAGGGAGGGTGGCAGTTGGGAAATCGGGTGGACGGAACGCAGGCGGAGTATGTGCGGATTCCACATGCGAACCTGTCACTGCACAAGATCCCAGACGGCATCCCGGGACGGATCGCGATCATGCTGTCGGATGTGCTCCCGACCGGGATGGAGTGCGGGACGTTGAACGGCAACGTGTCGCCCGGAGGCAGCGTGGTGATTATCGGCGCGGGACCGATTGGCGTGGGGTGTTTGTTGACGGCGCAGCTGTATTCGCCGGCGACGTTGGTGATGGTAGACGTGGACGAGGCACGGTTGGAACAGGCACGAGCCATGGGAGCGCAGACGGTCAACACGAGAGCGCCGGATGCCAAGGAAACGTTGGACCGGCTGACGGACGGACAAGGGTTCGACTCGGTGATTGAGGCTGTCGGGATCCCGGCGACGTTTGAACAGGCGCAGGAGTTGGTGGCGGTAGGAGGGTCAATTGCGAATGTGGGAGTGCATGGCGTCAAGGTGGATTTGCATATCGAGAAGCTGTGGGATCGGAATATCAGTAAGCCCCTTTCCCTTCGACAAGATACGTACGAGCGATAGTAACCGAACAGGCATCAACATGGCGCTGGTCAATGCGACGTCGATACCGCGGTTGATGCGGCTGGTGCAGAGCGGAATGCTGGACGTGTCGAGTTTGGTCACCCACTGTAAGAACCTGACCCGTCCACGAAGGAACAACGAGCTAACCCAGATAGCGTTCCCCATGGCACAGGCGGACCAAGCATATAGCACGTTTCAGGCAGCGGCTCAACATCGGGCATTGAAAGTGACGATAGACATCGAATAGTCCTCGGTAGCTTGGCAGAATCCTAGTCCATAACGTCAATGAAGGAATTTCTCGCAATCGGGCATGGACCGAGTCGGGGTGAACCGGCACGGAGTTGGGTGTAATTTGCTGACAGGTGGAGGAGGAGAAATTAGCCAAGACGCTAGTGCCAGAGAGTGTCGCATATTACTCCGTAGTGAAGCCGACAAAGAAAGCCATTCAGATGCTCGGTTTGTTCGGGGGTGGAGCGCATACGTACGGAGGTGTGGGTGAATGCGGAGAGTCTCAAGTGTACAAACAGTGCAAATATGGCAAACTCTCGCTTGGATCGCTTGAATCGCTGAATCCGGTTAGTGTAAGCGATTACTCAGGAGTCCGGGGAAGCCGGTGGCCGTGGCCGTGGTTGTGGTTGTGGCTGTGGGTGTGGCCGTGGCCGAGTGGTTCGCCGATATATCCCTTGACAGAAGATTCCATAGGCCAGAGTATGGACTATAGAACATTCCAGTAGCGAAACGACACCGTCCTCTGATATGGTTATGGCGTCTCGTCTATCTCTTCCTGTCTGTGACGGTAGCGGCTAAACTCAACCCCGACATTACCCCGGACCCACCGTTCACGGATCTGATTGGCTGTCCATATAGGCTGAAAACATCGAGAATCTTCTTAGTCATTATTTTTCTTGTTACATACGATACAGCCATACAGCCAGCCAATACGGGGTGCGGCCAAGAGACGCAGCCAAGGGAGAGCGTAATCGGCTCGGTCGGGATGATGATAGTAGAAGCAGTACTCTGTACTCCGTACAGAAATGCCGTATGCTTGATACCCCGATATTCACTGTATGTCGCTTCCCCGGATTCTTTTTCACCGGTGGCCGTATCGGGTATCGCCACTCCCCAGGTCACCAAATCCCCGGTTTCCGCATCGGGCTGTCACTCCGCATGCGACTATCAGGGCCTCCGTCCTACGATCAAGTGCATTGTACA